GAGCCCAAATACTTCAAGGAAGAGATTCGTGCCCCTGCCAACAATTCTAATCAGTTCTTCTTCATGTACATTTCTGGCAGAGAGTCCTCGTTGTTCACCCACTTCTGGATTTGGTCTTGTTCCAGAACTTTAGTTTTGTGTGCACATCCATTTTACAAATCTGATTTATTTGTATGCAGATTGTTGATTCCTTGCCTCTTCCTTCTACAACTTGTTTGTTAGGGGGGCAGTGAATCTATTCTACCCCCAAAAAAGTGTTCTTGGACCCCCTTAACTTTCAAGCTCTGTCACAAACCGCCTACTTATTAATAGTCATAGTGAAGAATGTATATAATTTATAAACATTAAGAATCAACATCACAGCAATCGGGACATTCCCATAAGCACTCCGCCCCCACCATTCAGCAGCAAACTCCAACTGCACCAGTAATGGTCTGATAGTACATCCACCTCACTTTTTCTCTGGATGCTTGTCGGCCACTCCACGCAGCACCATCACCCCAGATCATAATAATCCAACTGTACACCTGCATTGCTCACCCATCCCCAAAGGGCCCTAATAACATCTATCTTGTCATACATGAATTCACCAGCAACTTGTGCAGAATCAGCCAGAAGGTCTATCTGTTCATTTCCCAATACATCAGCATGCCCAGGGAAAATATCTTAAGGACACTAACTTTTGGACGCTAAGGTCTGGTGTCAGTTGGTTATGGTCTAGGCTTTATTGAAAGACAAAAGGCAGAAAAAGAATAAACAATAGAGGGAATTCATGTAAGATTAATAAAATAAGATTTTACCAGTGTCCTGTTGGAGCCTAAATTCACATGCTGTCCCTGAAATTCGTGACATTCACAGAAAAAATGAGGTTCCCAGAAAAATAATCACAAACAAGCCAAACTCCTTTTAGCTCTTACCTTTTTTACCACTTTCAGGTAGCATAAAATAGGGACGGTGGGAGAGGTTGGGTGTGTCTCGAGCATGGAGATTAAGGGCTGAACGGAGAGTGAAGTCATCAGGCACTGTGAGGGGTTAGGATTTGATTTTCCGTGCAGGACCAACACTTGAATGTTACACAATTTTCCCAGCCATCTTCTTAAGCAAACTGGGCTGGAGTAGATACTGGCTACCTCCTATCCAACATTCATAAAGATTTAACTATTTTGCCCTGCGAATGCTTGCCGAAGGGTTGCGATATCCATAGTACCGAGCCAAAGGGTTTACAACTCATAGTTTCTGGATACGTTGAAAAAAAAAAAAATGCTTAAAAAACAAAAACAAAAGGTCGTGAAACTATGGGAATTCCTTGAAAAAAATCCGCAACACAAACAGCCATATTGCACAGGTCACTAATATATTTTTTAATAATTTATCTATCTACAACTGTAATTTTTGTTCAAAATATATATATATAAAAGGGTGATGAATAAACACGAGCAGTGATGATTTAAATGGAATACATTCCCTGGGGTCTAAAAATTATGTTTTGTGTGATTCATGCCATAACCGCTATCACTGTGGCTTTTGGAATATTCTACATCAACATGGCTTTAAAAAACTACTGGGGACATAAGGCCCCTCCCTCTCCATTGTTAGTTTTGATTAATATTTTCACATTATGGTCTATTAAACACTGTGCAGGCACACTCAGAACCAATGAAATGTGGATATAGTCAGGACTGTGTCATAACCAGGACTGTGTCACAACCGGGACTATGTCACAACCAGGATTGTGTCACAACCGGGACTGTGTCACAACTGGTACTGTGTCACAACCGGGACTGTTTCACTACCGGGACTGTATCACAACCGGGACTGTGTCACAACCGGGACTGTGTCACAACCGGGACTGTGTCACAACCGGAACTGTGTCACAACTGGTACTGTGTCACAACCGGGACTGTGTCACAACCGGGACTGTGTCACAACCGGGACTGTGTCACAACTGGAAGTGACTAGATTTAGTCTTCTTGGGACAACAGGGTTAATGGAGTTGCTTATATGACAATTTATCACTGACATCAGAAGGAGACAGTCATCATTTTTCGGCCATGTTATGAGAAGAGGGAAAATAGAACATGTTGTGACCACTGGAAAGATCTGTGGAAGGAGGGATAGAGGAAGACAACGAGAGAAGATGCTTGACGGTCTTGTTGCATGGCATGGAGGTGTGTCGGCACACGAACTGATACATGCTGCAGGAGATCGCGGATTATGGAGAGGCATGATCGCCCACGCCAGTCGGCAAGGCACCTGATGATGATGATATATGATTAACTGTTTAAGGGGGTCTGCGTGGTGTCAAGGCATGGCGTCCCCATAGAATGTTGGAGGTTTTGGGTTCAGGCCCTGGTAAAAGCTGGGATTTTTTTTTCACGTGGACTTATAGTAATTTCCTCCTGGTCTCTGAGTAGTAAGATCGGACGCCCGTGTGTACTGCTGCGCACGTTAAAATAATCCCTTGGCAGTTGGAAATTGGAAAAGAGTAGCCACTGCTATGGAGTTCGCGCACTGTGCTGAGATTCTTGGGACTGAGACGAGTCAGAAGTAAAACTGAGCACTTATAGGTTACCCTTTGTGCCATGATGTTGATCCGTTGTCTAAACCTAAACTAAACCATGATTATCTGTTGCCCCAGATGTTTACAGGGCTAATTTCCCAAATAAGGTTACATAAATAAAGCATCTGCATCTACATAAAACAGATTACACACACAACTTTTGTGTAAGTACAGTTTCACACCTGTTGTGATATTAATCAGTAACAAATAGGAAAATTAATACGACACATACCAGGGAGGGAAATGGAATGATATATAACACAGCTTTAAAAACAACAACACTGAAAAAATATAACAAATTAACAGCCAGCTTACTGGCAATGACACACAATTATTACACTGTATATCACATCACAAAATCAGATACTGTAACGTCATCTCACATCACATCATATTTAAATATGATGAAGCAGCTTTCATATCAAATAATTATCATTTCTCTAAACTTTCTAGTTATCAAATTTATGTAACTATTTAATCTTGCGTCACTCTGCCTGAAACTTGTGGAATTCATACTGGGGGCAAATTACTGGGTCAAATTACATCATGTAAACCACTTTCAACACAAAATAAATTAAAAATTGTGTCAAAAGGAAATCAGAATGAACACACCTGCACAAACAATTTGCGATAAAATAAAGATACCACTAATGTGTAAAAAGATTACCTCAGGTGTGGCTGAAGGAAGTAAATGTGATATGAAGAAGCAACCAATGCTGACATGAAACATCCATCTCAGTTGAGACAGCTTTCATGAAACCCTCAGTTACAGCACGAGCTGTCTTAGTCATTTCCGCAGTGTAGACAGGGAGGTCTTTAAGCCGGAGGATTTAGGACCGCACAGAAAGTGCTGTCGCCATGGACTGTGCAGGTTAGGATTTTATTTTTGCCCCTGACAGAAAAAAATCCCTACCTTTATCCAGGATTCGAACAACAGTATCCCGCATGAGAGCCGTGAGTTCTTATACGTTCAGCCAGCCGCTGCTCATGTGATACTAAAGACAAGAAATTAATCCACTGAATTGTGACAAAGAAGCTTAAAAAAAAAGAAGGCAAGCAAAAAACACATAAACACAGGAACAATCGGACGTTTTGGCAGCAACCTTTATCAACAAAAACTACAACAACAAGGGGGAGAGTATCCCGGCCACCGGGAAGGGAAAAAAATGGATAGTAAAGCCAACAGTCATAAGTAATTCACACAATCATTCAGTATACAATGTAATATTTTTTCATCCATATGTAATGAGAAATTTAACATAGATAACAGACACAACAACCAACTTGCCCATAAGCAGTGCTGCTCAAAACTTTAAAAATATGTATGATGACAATGACTTGTTAACATGATCCTCACACCTTAGAAGTATGTTTTGTCAATGGCCTTTATAGTTTTGTTTTGCCAGTGGTGTTCTTGTGAACTGAACATATGTTTAATCTATGGCCTTGCTTCAACCAATCTTTTTTTTCAATGCAGAAACGTACAAGTTCAGACTGTTTATCTGAACACAGAACAAGGTTGTTTATGCTCAATGTAAAACACATATGGACTGTTCATGCTGTTTATCTGAACACAGAACAAGGTTGTTTATGCTCAATGTAAAACACATATGGACTGTTCATGCTGTTTATCTGAACACAGAACAAGGTTGTTTATGCTCAATGTAAAACAAATATGGACTGTTCATGCTGTTTATCTGAACACAGAACAAGGTTGTTTATGCTCAATGTAAAACAAATATGGACTGTTCATGCTGTTTATCTAAACACAGAACAAGGTTGTTTATGCTCAATGTAAAACAAATATGGACTGTTCATGCTGTTTATCTGAACACAGAACAAGGTTGTTTATGCTCAATGTAAAACAAATATGGACTGTTCATGCTGTTTATGACTATCTGAGCATAGATTTAAACTTTGCTGAATGTACAAACAAATTTAGACTATCTGAATACTGAAACAAATTTGCACTGTTTATGCTGAATCAACAAACAAGTTTAGATTGTCTACACTAAAAGTACAAATAAATTTAGACTATCTATACTGAATGTGTAAGTAAATTTAGACTACTTAATGTGAAAAAAAAAATTTACACTGTTGATTGTTCATGCACAAAATAATTAATACGGTTTTTGCTGAATGTAAAAATACCACACGGGTTTGATTTTGCCTCTAGAGCAAAAAAATGAATGTCACCAAAGAGAGAAATGTTCCTTTTCTGCTATCAGTGTAACAACACTGAACAATGAAGCAAGTGCACACAATGACCGCTATCAATGAATCAACAGGCGGAAATAAAAAACAAGTATGCAAAAGAGCAATACAATAGCACGGTAATGTGTAATACTGACAGAATGTATTCCAATGAAATATTAATCCAGCCATGAGCCTAGACACAATAGTGCCAACATGAAACAATGAACGGTGTTGGCAGCAACAGTTATATGTCATCAATGTCAATATCATCGTCGTCATCATTGTTCTTATCTACAGCAACAGCGCTGGCAGTCTTCTTCTCGCCATTGACAGCTGGGTTGCTGGATGCCGGGCTCTTCAAAGGCTCCACAGTGATTTCTGTAGCTTTCTGAGTGTTTGAATAAATTATCTGCAACACACCAGACAGGAAACGCTATAAAAAACAACTCTTTTAATAACAGTAATAATAAATAAATATATTCCCACCAATGACTACCCCTCGCTGTTTAAAATTACAGAAATTTAAAAAACTGCAATCATGAACCAGGCTAGGAAGGGCCTGACATAATTCATCTGAGGTCTCACCAATAAGAGATGACAGCTAGAATGAGAAAATTGGAATTATGTTTGGGCATATTTTACCTAGCTGGGAGTCGCTGTGGCCGAGTGGCTAGACGCTCGCCGCGGATTGGAAGGTCGTGGGTTCGCTCCCTGGCGGAGCCGGACTTTTTTCAAAAATGACCTTGACTCCCAGGTCGACCCAGCCTTGAGTGGGTACCGGGTGCAGTCTCAGGAAAGTGATACTGACCACATCACCCATCTTGTGCCGTTGGTCTATAAAAATATAGGTCTAGCCCTATATGCCCTATACGCCTTAAGGCGTCCTTTACTTTTGTTTATTTACCTAGCTTCAATAGCTTCTGCTTTACTTATGCTAGAATTGACTGCTTCTCACTCTGTTAGTGCTGTCTCTGCCTCTCTGGGCATCATTAGAACCAATCCTTTACTGTGGGAGGCATTTTTCTCTGCGCAGGCTAAGATCTACAGTTTCAACTATGTTTAGAAACATTCTGCATTCTCTCTTTCACAGAATTCCACAAATGCTCACTCAGAACGTTTATATTTATTCAACGGATCAACATCACGGCATACTGGTGTAACCCACAGGCGCTCCGCTCTACTTCCAACTCAAGCCTGAGTCTGAAGAATCTCAGCGCAGTGCACGAACTCCTGAAATACTTTGGGTAGATTTTTAACTCCCCAGGCAGCGCCTGTAGGCTACTCTTTTCAATTTCCCACTGCCAAGGGATTTTTGACGTGGGCAACAATACACAAGGGCGTCCGATCTTACTACCCATAGACAAGGGGAAATTACTAGAAGTCCACATGAAAAAGTCTGAGCCTTTACCAGGGCTTGAACCTGGGACCCCCCCCCCCCCCCCCGAACTCAAGGCGGACACCATACCTCAAGACCACTCAGCCCCCTCACTCAGAATATAACATTCACCCTGCTGACTTCCTGAATTCAAATATTGCTCTACAATTCCAGGTACTTCTTCTGGAGATTTTCCTTGGTGGAAGGGGATAAGCTGATGATCCAGATTCTTTCACATCCCATGATACATATTGCAGACGACAACTTCCTTTCATTTATTCTTGGTTGGCTGAGTTACTGTTACTGGGTGCACACATTTATTTGAAAAACAGAACATAAAGTAATTTCTTTGAAAATCAGACTGCTCAAGCTTTTTAGATAAATAAATTGAAATATTATTATTTAAACAAAATGGAAACATTAACATATGAGAAATCAAACAAAAGATGACAACTTAGTAGAAATCAGACTGAAGACACTAAGCTGGTAAAAATCAGAAGAAAACACTGCTCTGCAAAGAAACAAATGCAATAAAAGTACCTCATCATCCCCCTCTTCTTCCTCTTCATCAGACTCTTCCTCTGCTTGCTCTAGCCAAGTGACAAAAGCATGTGCCTCCTTTTGGATCTGAGTGCACTGCTCTTTACTCACATATTTTTTAGATGGCTGAAAATGTGAAAACCAGGTGTTAAAATCCTGCACTAAAACTGCATGTGTGAATAATGTATAAAATATGGAATTCACTAAACATATTTCTCATTAAAATACTGTAGAGATCGACAAATACAACTGTCAAATACTTTTGTGTCATTTGATACAAGGTGTGAATACATGATGTTTATATCATCAGTTGCTCTCTGTGTGGGTTCCAGGTTCCCTTTGTGGGGAAAACTAGAATAGATCCACTGCCCCCTAACAAGCATGTCTAAGAGTCAACAAATTAGGGAAGTTTTCCTTCGAACAGACAGACAGAGAGACAGACAGACAGAGAGACAGACAGAGAGACAGACAGACAGAGAGACAGACAGACAGAGAGACAGACAGACAGACAGACAGACAGACAGACAGACAGACAGACAGACAGACAGACAGACAGACAGACAGACAGACAGACAGACAGACAGACAGACAGACAGACAGACAGACAGAGAAAGAGAGAGAGACAGATAGAAAGACAGAGAATGAGAGTGAGAAACAGACAGTAAGAAAAATTCAAGAAAGAGAAAAAAAAGGAAAAAAGACAAAGCTAAGAACCTCTAATTTAACTTCTTGTGCACACTTAATTCACACAGAAAATAAACTAAACCACACATTTTGCCTGTTTCACTTATTTTAAAATGATTTCATGTAAGTGAATTGACAAGTATGGAAAAGTTGCCGGCCGAGCACTGGCAAGGTCTCACGTGGAAATGTACTGCACTGAAACCCGCAGGAAAATGAGACAGACACCTAAAAACAAGAGAATTAGAAAAAGGTGAACAAGAAGAGGGGAGTGTGGGTGGGTGGGGGGGGGGGGGTGGATGGAGGGAATCACAGGAGATGATAAAAGATAGGACAGCCTGGCGTAAGTTAGTTGAGTGCCTATGCTCCCAAGGGAAAAAAGGGACAGTGAAAGGAAATATAACTTGCCTCGCTACAAAAAACTGTATAGTTTACACTGCTGGAAAATTATCAGTTACAGAAAAGAAAAAATCCTAAGTGGTCAACACATGGAAATAAAAAATGAACATATCGAAACCATCCCTGCCCAGTGACATTACTAATAGTTAGTTTCGTATCCTTTACATGACACTGCAGAACCAACCCCAAAACCACACAACAGTGTGGTTTTTCTAGGCAAATTTATGTCCAGTAGTTTGCCATTTCTTTCTGGACGGTCGGCATTCTTGATACCACTGTCGAAACCAACGCAAGGAGCATGGCTTGCAGCTGGGATCGAACCCAGCATCCCTGCTTACGAAGCGTTTGCATCGACTTAGCCACAGAGCCGACAGTGACATTACTAGCTGAATCTAAAAGAATCAATGAACACATCTCACACAGCCTCTACCCCAACATGACTTAATTAAGGCACATCTCGCCTACCTACCTTCTTGGCCCACTCAAGGATGACCGCCTCCTCTAAAATGTCCAGATCATAAAGTGCTTTCAGGATGTGGCTCGTTTTTGCCATCAGTTCAGGATACTCCTTGGCTAGCAGTATCTCCAATCCACCCAATAAAGATTTCTGTGCCTTTTGGTTCTGGGCACAAAACTGAAATGAAAATGTACACTACAGCAACATCTCTTTCAATAGATGCATTATACTTTGTGTGTAGCACGGCATCCGTGGCTTAGGCACAGCAAATCTGACTCGTAATTCCAACGTACCGCATCGAAATCCACTACTGGCTGCGTGAATTTTTATCATGGTATGGGGTGACACAGGTCAACCCAACCTAAAATGGGTACCATGATGTATGTCCTGAGGAAGTAAAGACGGCCGGCGTAATGCTGACCACATTACCCCCGTAGTGCCAATGGCTCTGTAAAAATATGGGTGCTCTTCCTATATGCCATATGTGCCTAAAGGCGTGAAAAGGGATCATTATTTTCTTTATACTGTGTGTTTATTATGAGACTGTGTGAACTGGGCACAAAGATGTACAAGCGAACTAAAAGAAAAATGTTTACAAATATTGTGTAAATGCAACATTCGTAAATGTTAACAATGGCTGATGTGGATAGAATGACATCTATGAGTTTGCCTGGCTTAGCTAAGATGTTCAAACAAAATTGTATTTGTCCTGCTGCTGATTTTTGGCTCTGTCGACTCAAGAGTCTGACCACCACTGGTGTAGGGGGAAATATAAACTAGCACACACAAGGCAAGAAGGGCTTCCCTAATGCAAGGGAATTTGCAGAATCAAAACTAGTGCCAAACTGCAAATATTTAATTCTTACATCTTTTTTTTTCTTCACGTTCAGAGGCTGTAAACTCCAGTGGACAGTTCTTGTTTCTTTTTTTATTCCACAACTGTACTAGTTTTTTCCAGAATCTGAGCCTTGAGTGCACATCCACTTTACAGATATGACTTATTTGTGTGCAGATTGTTGGTTCCTTGCATTCCGGCCATGCACTCCGACTTCAAAGGAAGCCCTCCAGTTAGTCGACTATTATGACATGCTTGTTGAGGAGGCAGTGAGTCTATTCTTGTTTTCCCTACAATGGGGCCCCGGAACCCACATTTAACAAGGAAAGGAAAAATAGAATACTACAAGACAAAAGCATTCATTAATGTTTAATTATTGTTTTCATTAATGCCTGTGAAAAGGAACATAATTGAAAACAGTACAGAAACGAAACCCAACATACCCTGAGAAACAGATTTTTATATTTCTGCAGCTGAAGAAGGACTTTGTCATTGAGAAGCAGCTCTACCAAGACCAGGGGAACTTTATCATTCACTTCCAGTCTCTCAGCTTCAGCAAACAGGCCTTTGACAACTGCTGGCTTCACCAATTCACCCTCATCTCGCTTGATCTGTAGAGGGAATCATATTTATTCTACAAAATTTGTTCAACTGCACACAAGGCAAAAAAAAAAAAAAGGTTTCAAGACACAATAGAAATGCTTTAATAAAGCGCCCTTGTATTATTACTGAGGCCTATAAGGGAGCAATGAATAGTGACATGTTAACCTGCTATGCATGCCATAAAAGGCAGGGTGCTAAATATGGGCTAAAGGGAGATTAGTTACCTGGCTGATTGTATGTTTCAACAAAAAACTGTGCACCAGATGTGATGCAAGGGGCAGGCGTTTCACTGTAATAAAGAAGCCAATCACCAGCTGCTTATAGATGTTCTTGATTTGGTCTTACTGCATTTATTACTCGGCAAAGAACATTCATTTAGTACTTTTTAATAATAGTATGGCCCAGTTAGAGTTAACTTGTGAAAGATTCCTGCCCCTGAGGGAAAAAACACAGTTAATGTCATCTTGATCTTGCTCTGGATTTGTCACGTCTTCTTTAGATGGCAAATCAGGTGACATCCATTCAGACAAGTTGGCCTTCATTTCCGGTTCGTAGCCGTAGACCCCTAATTTATCTCCGAATTGACCTTCTTAAGGAAATCGTTCCCTGGCAGCAGTCTGCAACAAATCACTAGCAAATACTGCACAAAGTTAATTCTGTTTAGCAGCAGAATCTGCAGAATGAATGTTGTCACACGTCTCATGAATACAATATGTACCTGAATCCCCAGATCATCCTCTGGTTCTCACACTGTCATTCACCCAGTTTTTGCTGATTGCAGCTCACACACATTCAATATTTCCGATGTTTTGATTGTCGCAGACCTCCCAAAAATACTTTTCACTGAAGAATATTGAAACAAAATTGGATGCAAATTCTTCGCTCTGATCACCCAGCCATTTTGAATGAATCTGCACCTCATGGTGCCCTTGCTCACGAACCAACATGCAATGGTTTTACCGACTGGCACAGCAACGTCCTCACTGCTCACCGGCCACTCTTGGCTGCCAGGTTGCTTCGATGTCACAAAAGTCAGTCTCCTTCATATTAACTATTGCTTGTTCTTTTCCAGGCAGCCCTTGTGAGTCTTTCCATTGTCAGCTCCCTAATACACATCAGTTATACATTTAAGAAGGTTTTTGTGGTAGACTGATTAAGCCAAATGGAGTATGCTCTGAACATCATGGATTCACAAAGGTCAAAGATTAAAATCTGCATCCAGGAGTATGTATATTCAAAACTGACCTTGACCCAAACTAAAATGGCTACCAGGTAATGTCCTGGCAAGTTAGGCAGCCGACATATTATTAGGCACATCACCCACAAAATGTCAATTGGCCAGTTAAAAATTTAGGTCTAGCCCTATTTGCCCAATGTTTCAAAAGCGCTGAGAGTTTTTTTTACCTGTATGTTATTTTGTGTGTTTTATTTATTTAATTCACAAACATCAGTCTTGGGTAGACACCAAGGCAAAGAATCTGACAGACAGTACAGCATTATATACTCAGATCCTCAGAAAACTGACCTTAATAGTTTCATAAATGATGTTGAGACGTTCCTCTGCAGACTTCTCCAGGTCATCTGTAAAAGTTAAACCCCGGGCAGCATCTGACAGTTCTCCGATTCTCTTACTGACAGCTTCTTCGGTTATTTCATCTCCCCAGTCTTCATCGTCATCATCACCCCCACCTGTATTTTTCTTCTGGCAAATGTACAGAAAGATACAATTATTGTGAAAACATAAACTGAAAAAAAAAAAAAACTGTTGGTACATAGAAAAAATAACCTCACGTCAGGAAAAAGATCATGAAAATATTGTAATTGGTTATGAAACCAAAAAAGTTACTTTAAATTACCTCACACACACATGCACACACACAAAAACCCACAACAACAAAAAACAGATCCCAAATTCAAATCAAGCGATCCATTTTTGAACAAAGATGATACGAACAACCGATTGCACAATTTATTGCCTCGCATATTTCACTGCATCCTGTCAGGTGTGTACTACAGTAACAAATAAATTTAGCAAATTAGTGAATGCTTTATAACTGAAATAACAATTTAGCCACACTCAAGAGCACTGCCTGCTTTACCATGGCAACCGCAATGTCAGAATCATGTCTTTCTGTTTACAAAGTTCAGGACACAGGTAACGAATCGTGGCAGCTTAGAGAAATCTTAGCGCATTACCACTGGATGACATGTGAAGAATTCAAAATGTGTTTTCCTTGGTTATACTGTGTCCAGAATTCAAAAGTTGGTGCGCTATTGAAAGTGGTGCGCTATTGTGGAGGAGTGGTCTTTACAACTGGTCACCTGGGAATTTTATGTTAAATTGTTGTTCTTGTTGTTATTTAAATTGTTGTTATTCTCATTCTGATGTTTACTTTGTATTGCTTGTTTATCTGTTTGGTTTTATTTATTTATTTATTTTTTTAAATCTTCTTAAGAAAATCCCTTAAAAATAAGAGATTAAACAAAATGGCAGCTGTATATTCAGAATACATCCCCGACAAATAAAAATGAACTATTTTCAATAACAGTAAAACTCAAAAGCAAATTAAATTCAAACAATTCTAAACTCTTGAGGCATTAAAGTGAACAATTAGGAATGATTCTAGCTTCAAAAAGGTTTCAAAATGAAATTAATCATGTCCAAGCTGTGATTTGACTAGAGGTATAACAGAGTGAAAATCTATCTGGCGGGGAAATTAATATGGAACCCTGTGCAAAAAAAGTTTCTATAAAAGAAAGATTAAAATACTGAAGATATACCACAATATTACACTTTTTGCACAAAAGAAAAAAAAGATGCTTACAGATTCCTGTTAACATAAAGGCGTGACAAAATTCCTTGCCAGAACTTGTCTATCCTAGAAGGTTTTCAACCTGAGCTTACCAGACTTTCACAATGACTCAAGGAATACAGACTCTTAATTACTGAACAGAAAAATTGTGATGGTTGACACTGTTTTGCCTTAATGATTTCTGCTATTTTAGGTCTAATGTTTGACAAGGCACAAAATAATACTGAAAAACAAAACATTAGTATTTCAGATTATAACAAGTACAAATGGACTCAATTTCCAAACAGATGGACATTTCCCCTTGAAACTTCAATGCAGACCCCTGGGAGGGGGGAATGTGCTGGAAACCACTGCCCTATATAGTCTGAAACTTATGTCTTATATCTTTTTTCATCAACCCAGTCTTCATCGTCATCATCATCCCCACCTGTATATTTTTTATATGGCAAACGTACAGAAAGGATACAATTATTGTGAGAAGGTATAATGAAAATAAACTTTTGGTATATATATTTTTTTTTTAAAAATAACCTCAAGTTCCGAAACAAATCATGAAAATATTTAACTGTTAATGAACCCAACCTGAAAAAATGCACTGAAATCAGTGATGCCAGGTTCATTTACTGCAGAAGGTCAGGTATATCATCATTTAATCATTTATGTTCATGTAGGGGAATCCAACATGATATCATCATCCCTTCTGCAGTTTCTGGGTTGATTCTTCTTAGAACTATTTCTCTATCTAATGTCTGATTTATTATCAGTTTGATTATTTCTTGCTTGCTTACAAGTGGAAGCATTTTTAGACTTAACTATAAAACTGTCAAAGGGGCTACCCTTGTTACTAGAGAAAAATAACAGAAATGACATCAAGAAAGAACCAGTATTAAACAACATCAACAGACAACAAATCAAATGGTTTGGACATGTGTCAAAGACAACTATCAGACAGTACACCACAGAGAGCTCTGTCATTCAGACATAACAGAAGCAGAACCAGAGGTCAACCACACAACCTATGGATAGATGGAATAGCTGACAACATAAACAGATGGAATAGCTCAGGCAATACATACTATGTAGCACAAACCAAGGCTCTCACCCGATGCATCTACAAAACCTGATGCTGAAAAGCAGAACAGGACAACAGAAGATGATTAAATAGTAAATACTGTCAGAATGGAAAACACCAAAAACTCTCAGCAATACCAGTACACACTCATCCTTTGAATAAAATTATCTAAAGCAGGTTGTGAAAATGACAACACCTAGCGCTGGTTCCAAAACTCCATTTTTTGAGTGGGGGGATAGAGAACAGAACCACTGCCACTCTAAAATGAGTGTCATAAAAGGTGACTTATCGGGGGGTTTGCTGACATTCAAGTGTTTGGTCGAAGGGCGCAGATATCACAGCCCAACTGCAAACCATAAAATAAGTGCCAATTGGCCTTTCAAGGGTGAAGACAGCAGACAGAAGGCAACATACACAAAAATGTGACTAACAAGGAAAACAAAAATCATACCGACAGCGGTACACTTATCATGTGCCCAGATTCCCTCAAATCAGCCATCTGCTCCTGTCCTGAAGTAGGAGTAGATTCTGGACTGCCTCGTTCCTTCTCTTTCTCCTCATCCTCCTTCTTGCCCTTTTCCCTCTTGCTTTTCTTGCCTTTGCTGGGAGTAGCAGCCACAGCAGCAGGATCCTTAAAAACAGAAAATAAATCCAGAAAACAAGGCTTAAATCACAACTTCTTACACAAGCTTTCAGAACTACTAAACCATTGATAAAAAAATCAACTTAATACAGATAATACATATTCAAACAAATAAACATGCAGAATGCTAAATCACTGGTTACAAATGGACAAATACCAATTTTCATATTTGAAATAGCCAAAACAGACTTCTTCTTTTTCACATTCACTAGCTGTAAACTCTGGCTATTCGTCTACTTCTGGACTTTTAGTCTTGTTCTAGAATTTGAGTTTGCATGCCCATCCGTTTTACAGATCCGGCTTAATTGTATGCAGACTGTCAGTTCTTCACCTCTCAAACAGATGCACTCCAATTTTGAAGAAAATATCCCTAATTAGTGGACTTTATGCCATGCCCCCCCCTCCCCCCCCCAATAGAATATCAGAACCATGGTGGGGATAACAAAAGTCTAATTTCTAAATAACCCACAATCTAATCATGGACTGTAGGATGGCTGTGACAGGAGCATCAATCGTCAGTGTAAACTAACCTTCCATGTCACTAGGCAAGAGCAGCGCTTGCTGGTGTCTATCCCCTCTATCAAAACATCTACACGACAGTGTCTATCTCCTCTGTTAAAACATCTACATGACAGTGCCTATCTCCTCTGTCAAAACATCTACACGACAGTGTCTATCTCCTCTGTCAAAACATCTACATGACAGTGTCTATCTCCTCTGTTAAAACATCTACACGACAGTGTCTATCCCCTCTATCAAAACATCTACACGACAGTGTCTATCTCCTCTGTTAAAACATCTACACGACAGTGTCTATCTCCTCTGTTAAAACATCTACATGACAGTGCCTATCTCCTCTGTCAAAACATCTACATGACAGTGTCTATCTCCTCTGTTAAAACATCTACATGACAGTGTCTATCTCCTCTGTTAAAACATCTACATGACAGTGTCTATCTCCTCTGTTAAAACATCTACACGACAGTGTCTATCTCCTCTGTCAAAACATCTACATGACAGTGTCTATCTCCTCTGTTAAAACATCTACACGACAGTGTCTATCCCCTCTATCAAAACATCTACACGACAGTGTCTATCTACTCTGTTAAAACATCTACACGACAGTGTCTATCTCCTCTGTTAAAACATCGACATGACAGTGCCTATCTCCTCTGTCAAAACATCTACATGACAGTGTCTATCTCCTCTGTCAAAACATCTACATGACAGTGTCTATCTCCTCTGTTAAAACATCTACATGACAGTGTCTATCTCCTCTGTTAAAACATCTACATGACAGTGTCTATCTCCTCTGTTAAAACATCTACATGACAGTGCCTATCTCCTCTGTTAAAACATCTACATGACAATGTCTATCTCCTCTGTCAAAACATCTACACGACAGTGCCTATCTCCTCTGTTAAAACATCTACATGACAGTGCCTATCTCCTCTGTCAAAACATCTACACGACAGTGTCTATCTCCTCTGTTAAAACATCTACATGACAGTGTCTATCTCCTCTGTTAAAACATCTACATGACAGTGTCTATCTCCTCTGTTAAAACATCTACATGACAGTGCCTATCTCCTGTGTCAAAACATCTACATGACAGTGTCTATCTCCTGTGTTAAAACATCTACATGACAGTGTCTATCTCCTCTGTTAAAACATCTACATGACAGTGTCTATCTCCTCTGTTAAAACATCTACATGACAGTGTCTATCTCCTCTGTTAAAACATCTACATGACAGTGTCTATCTCCTCTGTCAAAACATATACATGACAGTGCCTATCTCCTCTGTTAAAACATCTACATGACAGTGTCTATCTCCTCTGTTAAAACATCTACATGACAGTGTCTATCTCCTCTGTTAAAACATCTACATGACAGTGCCTATCTCCTCTGTTAAGACATCTACATGACAGTGTCTATCTCCTCTGTCAAAACATCTACACGACAGTGTCTATCTCCTCTGTCAAAACATCTACACGACAGTGCCTATCTCCTCTGTCAAAACATCTACACGACAGTGTCTATCTCCTCTGTTAAAACATCTACATGACAGTGTCTATCTCCTCTGTTAAAACATCTACATGACAATGTCTATCTCCTCTGTTAAAACATCTACATGACAATGTCTATCTTCTCTGTTAAAACATCTACATGACAGTGCCTATCTCCTCTGTTAAAACATCTACATGACAATGTCTATCTCCTCTGTTAAAACATCTACATGACAGTGTCTATCTCCTCTGTTAAAACATCTACATGACAGTGTCTATCTCCTCTGTTAAAACATCTACATGACAGTGTCTATCTCCTCTGTCAAAACATCTACATGACAGTGCCTATCTCCTCTGTCAAAACATCTACATGACAGTGTCTATCTCCTCTGTTAAAACATCTACATGACAGTGTCTATCTCCTCTGTTAAAACATCTACATGACAGTGCCTATCTCCTCTGTTAAAACATCTACATGACAGTGTCTATCTCCTCTGTCAAAACATCTACATGACAGTGTCTATCTCCTCTGTTAAAACATCTACATGACAGTGCCTATCTCCTGTGTCAAAACATCTACATGACAGTGCCTATCTCCTCTGTCAAAACATTTACATGACAGTGCCTATCTCCTCTGTCAAAACATCTACATGAGAGTGTCTATCTCCTCTGTTAAAACATCTACACGACAGTGTCTACCTCTGTTAAAACATCTACATGACAGTGCCTATCTCCTCTGTTAAAACATCTACATGACAGTGCCTATCTCCTCTGTCAAAATATTTACATGACAGTGCCTATCTCCTTTGTCAAAATATCTACATGACAGTGCCTACCTCATCTGTCAAAATATCTACATGACAGTGTTTATCTCCTCTGTCAAAATATCTACCTGACAGTGTTTATCTCCTCTGTCAAAACATCTACAAAATAGTGCCTAACTCCTCTTCAAATACATTCCATTCTGTTGTTGGTGGTTTTCTCATTTCTTCCACGTCAGATGCTTATGTGGCTTTTAGCTGAGTTGAGCTGAATTAGGAACCGACAACACAGAACTGGGAGCTTTCCCATAAGCACTCCACTCCCATCTTCAGCAGCCACTGCAGAGTTCCAACTGTGATGGCACCAGTAGCAGGCTGACTCTATGTCTGGCTTGCCTTTCCTCCCAGTGTTGAGTGTCGGCGAGATCCCTTGGTCACTCACTTTTGCACCATTCTTTTCAGACCATGATAATCTAGTTAGGCTTCAGCAGTGCCCCCTGGCTCCCAAAGAGCCTTGACCCAATCTAGCCTGTCATGCATCAATTGACCACCATGTGGAGCAGAACTAGCCAACCTATCTGTCTAATAATTGACCCCCCCCCCCCCCCCCCAAATTAAAGTAAGTGACAATAGTCTAGGACAGAATGGGTTTAAGCAGGTCACCCTAAAACATACCTGGTCTGGGGGATTTTTGAGAATAAACGTGGTAAGCTTGTGCCTCATGTCTACTGAGCCATTATAACCACAAGCAATGCAACGCTGCATGATCGTGCCCCGTTTTGCATGGAATACTGTTGACACATATGGTTAAAAGAGGTCCCAAAGTAAGCGAGGGCCTTTTTTAACGTGAGATGGTTCTACTAGTCACATCCACCATCAGTTTCCTCAGGCATGTGTCTACATGGCGGGCTACAGTGTCTACTATTCTTGGCCTCCTTAGCAGACCCCAAAAACTTAGAGATAAAGGAAACGGAAAAATTGTACAAACCAGATTAGTCTCCGGGTTGGAGCATTCTGGGCAGAGGACAAACTTCTTGATAAAACCATCAAGTAAAGTCTGCAGCTTCTCATCCATGTGTGAGCCATTTACAATGTAGCGATCATTTTTAGCGTCAAACAGGGTCTGAGCCCCCAACTCACAGCCGAAGTACTTGGTAGGATCTGTGAACAATACCAGTTTCATAAAACTACAAGGTGATTTTTTTTTTAATTCAAATAATTTATGGGTGACAAAAATCAGACTGCCAGTGGTTTTCTGACGAGAAGGCCACAGACCTCTATGAAGTCTTTAGTGTGATACATGTCTTCCACTATTCCATACAACTTGGTTTCTATTGGAATGCCAAGCGGCCAAATCTGGAATCTCTCTACTGCATGTGGAAAGCACTCCTGTAGCACCTGTTCAGTATTCTGTGGTGCAAGTCCACATGGGTACAGTTCTGAATCCCCCATCTTCAATTTCTTGTACATATGGCTGCAGAGTCTGTTGGTCCTGGTACGCAATCTACAAACATGTGAACGTGTAGAACAAGCTAAATTAAACAATCAAATATCCCAACCTGTAGACCAGTGTTTCCCAAACATTTCTTAGTTGCTGCACCTTTTTTCAATTATAATTTTTCCATGCGCCCCAACCTAAGTAAAAATATTACTATTTGTATGTAAGAGATAAAAAAAACTTGTGTATCTTCTGATATTTCCCGGCGCCCCTGTGAAAAGGTCGCGGCTCCACAGCGCACAGTTTGGGAATCACTACTGTAGATAATAAACCTGAAATACAACCACACAGATTAACAGGGGAGCTATGGCAGCAGATGTCCACTTGCTGGCCTTAAGATCACTGATCTGAATCCACACTGAGTGCAGATATTTTTTTTTATAACTGACCCTGACCCTGGCTCCTTGGCCTAGACTAAGGTACCAGGTAATGCCCTGGGAAGTAGACTGGGCCAGCGTGATGTTGACCACATCACACTTGAGTGCCAATGCACACACACAACACAAACACCATTTATCCCTTGGTGACTTGAGACCTGCCTTTCCCAGATAAAGGCAATAAAACAGGAAGTCACATATGTAAGATGGCCAGGTTTCAATCTTAATGAACCTAGAAGGCTAACTTTGTCAGGAAAAGTCAAACATTTTAACTAATATGTACAAACAACACAACTCCAAAAATGATCCATTTTTATTATTAAATATTTAATTTTAATACTGAATAAATGAAGAAGAGAAAGAAAACAGATGTTTTTGTAGAATACTCACATGTTGGAGGCCTGGACAATGCTTTAGCCACTTCTGTCATATTGACAATCACAGTTTTAATACCATTTCCTTTTCCCTCCACCTGCAACCAGAAAAATGGAAGACACACAAGTATTACACAAAATACCTCTAATCCAGTAAAAAAAAAAAGGGTTATGACCCTTTGGGAATCTCCCTCCCCCCCCCCCCCCCCTCCTCCAACAAATCACTAATAAAACAATTTGTATGTACATTTTAAATGTTTTTCCCTGAAATATATGAAGGGATTAAAAATGAACAGAGTGAAGCATTAAATGAATACATTCTCCTGGGCCTTAAAAAAGTATTATCGGCTGACTCATGCGGTGACTGTGACTTATCACTGAGGCTTATGATAAAATTTTGACCTTCAATTGGCTTTAAAAAAACAATCATTTGGTTTGAAGAAGAAAGCCTCTAAATGCTATTTTTAGTTAATTTATTCCTGACCCCATAAGCGTGAAGGTGTGAACACAGCTAACAGCATTAACTATACATCTCTTAAACACGTCACTACAGACAAGTAGGAAATCTGACACTTATGGGGAATTGGTCCCAACCAGAAGTGTTGGTTTTGCAGCTTCTCAGAGCAACAGGGTTATATGTGTATCTAATCCAGTTAACCCCATTTCAACTGTGAATCTAACCAAATTAACCTTACTATATTTGTGCAATCAACACAGTTAATGCACATCAACTGTGGATCCAACCCAGCTACCCTACTTCAATAGTGAACAAAACAAGCAATGCCCATGTTGGTTAGTGTTGAGGAGAACTGCAGAGTTAGGTGGCCTGTTGCCGCTCAACTAGGGAAGCCTTAGGCAACATTGTACATGCAACAGTTTATTTGTTGTAACTGCTATTTCCAGAGATGATGAACTGCAATTCTGGTGACAGACTGTGTGTGTTGGCAATTACGGTGGCTACCTTAGGAGTTAACACATTTGTATGTCAGTGGCTTTTCCAAGACTATATTATGTCTAGATTTTTTCATATGGGACAGTGATCAGCATTCTGTGTGGATTTTGCTGGAACAGAGCAATCGAAAGGGTGAACCATTTGCCATAAAGTTAGAACTGCAAATAATGACACAACAAACAGAAATATATGCTAAAAAGAATGCTGAATTAAGAATCGACATTACAGCACTCAGAACACCTCCATAAGTGCACAGTCCCCTTCTTTAGCAGCAAGAGAAGAGTTCAAATTCCAATGGTATCAGTAACTGTCTCATTGTATATCCGTCTACTCCTTCCAATGAAGTGTCGAGCGTCGGCGAGATCCCCTGGTAACTCCTTGCAGGGCCATTCTTCTTAGACCCATAATGATCTATCTGCGCCTCTGCACTGTTCAATCGCTCCCAAAAAGGCCCTCACAATATCTAACTTGTCATACATCAATTCACCACCAAGTGGTGCAGAGCCAGCCAGTCTATCTGTCTGCTCCTTTCCTAACACACCAGCAAGACCTGGAGAAAATATCCAAAGGATGCTAGCTACCCAGGACCTCTGAAGTGATGGTTGCCATTCTGCACGAAGCATGCCTGTTTTCACCTTTCTCAACATGCTCTGTGAGTCAGTTACAATCACAGCATGTGTGTACAGCTGATTCTCAAGCCAGCGGAAGGATGCAGAGACTGCCTCCACCTCCATTCTCAAACTAGACATTGCAAAAACACTAAAACAACACCTAGCCTATTACTAACCTTGGCTATGAGCCGAGGCATCTTATAGCGGTAGAAAGGATCTGTGTTGCTCCTGTCAATGTTGAATGCCATCGCTGTTGCAAATGTAAGTCAGTAGTTTTCCTTCTCCGGGGAACACTGCTATCAACTTGATTCAGATGGTTCTGTGGCACTGTAAACTTCATATACGGGTTTGAAGCTGCTTGGCTTCTGTGTGCCGGTAGTTTTGATTCAATGGTTCCAGAGTGCCACACCAAGGGCTCTATAAAGTCAGCAAACAAATTATTAATACAGTTCAATAACAGTGAGTGTTGGAAAATGAATTACAAATATACTAGAGAATTTTCAAAATAACCATCTAAGGATAATCCTGTGAACATTTAGGCCAAATAAGGTCAGAAATTAAATACTAATGAGGAAAACAAAATATAGAGAACAACATATTCATCACTGATAAATGTCAGGAATCAAAGAAGATGGTGATGGTTTGGATGTGTTTGCTGAATATCTAGTGACGCTTTTGGCAAGGCCAGCTTTCCAGTGGATAAGGATCATTGAACTGTTAAACTCGCCCAATTACCTCTAAGCAAAGTGTGTGTGTGTGCGCGTGTGTGCGCACGCGTGCGTGTATCCCTCTCTAACACTAGAAAATTAAGAGGAGGGTTCCGCATTTGATTCCCACCACTCCAACCCCACTATGCTGCCTCTTTTTTTGTATATGTACCCCAGACCTTGGTAGACTTATTCAGGAATTTCAAAATGGTGCTGCTCAGGTGATATAAGGCAGAGTTCCTCAACATTTTGACATTCACAGCCCTCCAAAACAGGAACTTGTTTCGCTGCTTGATTCCATGGCCCCTGACAGCTAACCTAACATGAAATAAAAACCAATGTAAACAGCTGTAGCTCAATTCAATATCAGACAATTAAAATTGTCAACTAGATGTGGCTTCTGCTGTGGCTCAAAGGTTAGAAAATCTGTGCATTACAGACTGCAATACTTGCAGATAAAAACTACACATCCTTCCCCATTACATGGTTGGGCAAAAAATATGATGGCCCACATGGATTTTTTAATGGCCCACCGGTTGAATAACACTGTTTAAAAGGATCAGGAAACCTCATTAGTTTCTTATACTAAGCCCATAATTTTGTCTGGAACCTAGGAGTTTCAGGTTCCCATGTAAAATGTGGTGCTGCTGAACATACACAGCCCTGTCTGGGAACTGTACTTCATGATTGTTATCTGACTAATGCTGCACTGCCACAGTGTGTAAATAGCTCAGTTTCACTCACTCACACGGTAAGCTGATTAGTGTCACTATTCTTTGATTCCTATATAGGTTTCGGTTAACTCTTTCAGTCCCAAGGAATGCATCGTTCGTTCCTAGGTTTCCACCTAGAAGCCCATGAACGCAAGATGAGCTGATTATACATTTCTCTTTAGCACCCCTTGGACATCTGATGCTTAACCCCCTGGGACTGAAAGAGAATAAATGGGTGACAACAATTTAACATGTATAAATGACTAACAACACAAATTAATAACTTGTGAGATGATGTATAAAAAAAATGTGGTGGGGAAAGACAGGAAGAGACAAAGTCACCAATGAAGAACTAAAAATAATAGAAAGCACAGTACAGTAAATCATTTCACAGAAAAACAAAGAATTAAATGGTTTGGTCACCTGTTTCAAAATTTAACAAAATCAGCTAGAGCACACTGCATGAGAACAGTAGAATACAAGAGGCTCTGGAGGGAGCAAATGAAGCACTACACAAACACAATAGAACATTAACACGACCTAAGCAACTAGCAAAAGACAGGAAACTATATCATATCTAATTCATCTCTGTGACGTTTTGCGGCTTTAAGGCAGTAGGACAAAGGAACAAAGAATAATAATAATAATTAAGTAGACAACACAGTTGTGGCTGCTTTTTCTGGAACTTTTCTCTCTCACTCACCTGATCTTTGCTTTACCAAAGCAAAATACCTTCTATGTCAAAAATAAACTCTTTTCAAATACGAAAGAGACTGGTTATGAAATTTCCAAACAATAAAATGATGACAAAACACACGTCACCTACCGTTTTGGCACGATAAAGTCATAAAAATGCTGTCTGGATTCTGCGTGTTTTCCAGCAAAGTGATGGCAGAGGCCAACGATTCGACTCTTCAAAACTGCGTTGCTGTCGCTAAGTAATTGTTTACGGACCCTTCTATCTGCAAAAGAAGACAGCAGTAGTCAGATGACGGATCTTTGAAACCTAAAAAAGGTCCGTTAGGCAAAAATATAGCGAGAAATAAAAATTAATTAACATACAGTTAACGATCACCAACCGCCTCTGCTAACTTACGTCGTTTGCCGTAGGCCCGGATGTTGAATGCATAGCAACTTCGCAGACAGAATGCCTCGATTCCGAAACCGTTTGCTCCCGTTGGTTTCCATGCACGTCAGAGGAGGAGCCGTCGAGGGCTGTGTGTTGACATCAGCATCATCGTGTTGCATGTCGACAGAGGACACGGCGAGGGATGTGTGTTGACATCAGCATCATCGTGTTGCATGTCGACAGAGGACACGGCGAGGGATGTGTGTTGACATCTGCATCCTTGTGTTGCTTGTCGACAGAGGACAAGGCGAGGGATGTGTGTTGACATCAGCATCATTGTGTTGCTTGTCGACAGGGGACCTGGCAAGGGCTGTGTGTTGACATCAGCATCATTGTGTTGCTTGTCGACAGAAGACACGGCGAGGGATGTGTGTTGACATCAGCATCATTGTGTTGCTTGTCGACAGGGGACCTGGCGAGGGCTGTGTGTTGACATCAGCATCATTGTGTTGCTTGTCGACAGAGGACACGGCGAGGGATGTGTGTTGACATCAGCATTATTGTGTTGCTTGTCGACAGAGGACACGGCGAGGGGTGTGTGTTGACATCAGCATCATTGTGTTGCATGTCGACAGAGAAGCCGACAAGGGTTGTGTGTTGACATCAACATGATCAAAACAGCTCTCACATGGACACAAGAGGGAAAGAGAAAACAAGGGCGCCCAAAAACAACATGGAGACGAACGATGGAAAGTGACCTGAGTGCGGCATCTTTGACATGATAAACTGCACTGAAGATTGCACAGGACAGGAAAGCATGGAAAGTCCTCTCTGAAGCCTCATGTGCCACTAGGCATAACGAGAACTAATCAACATGATCGTGTTGCATGTCGACAGAGGAGCCGGCGAAGGCTGTGTGTTGACATCAGCATCATTGTGTTGCATGTCGACAGAGGACACAGCGAGGGATGTGTGTTAACATCACCATCATAGTGTTGCCTGTTGACAGAATACACGGCGAGGGATGTGTGCTGACATTAACATCATCCTGCTGCATGTCGACATAGGACATGGCGAGGGCTGTGTGTTGAAATCAACGTGTTACATCGACAGAGGACACACCATGGGATGTGTGTTGACATCAAGATCAATGTGTTGATATAAGCATCATCTGTTGCATGTCGACAGAGGACACGGTGAGGCTGTGTGTTGATGTGGACGTATTGCATGTTGATAGACGACTCACTGAGTGTTGCTTGTTGACTTAAGCAATATCGTGTTGCATGTCGATAGACGCCTCGCCGAATGCTGTTCGTTGTTTTCGTCATCATCATGTGTCGTGCCGAGCTGTGTTTCCATACATGTCGACCGAGGACACGTTAAGGTCTGCTCAAACATGGCCACTCGACACGCCTAAAAAATGTCATCGTAACTTAGGTATATCATACAGCTTGAATCCACAGCTACGGAATACGTGCATTTAAAACTATTGAAATAGCACCATAGGTTACATAAATTTAGTGGGGTTTTTTTTTTTTTTTTTAGCGACATATCAGGTGTTATTTAGGAACATCCAATATTATCGGGGTAGGGTTAGTGTAAAATGAATGGCAACTACTACTAACCATAACCCCTCTATTATATGGGGTGTCCATAAATCACGCGTGATGAGGTCGCTAAACAGAAAAGAACCTAAATTTATACTAACAAAGCACAGGTCGAATAAAAATAAAAACACCAGTCCGTGATACTGTGTCTATCGTATAAGAGCAATGACTGGTTGGTTCAGTGTAACGTATGCAATGCACAGTGAATGCCAATCAATTCTTGCATATAAGTTTATTGTGAATTCTGTTCAACGATGCGTTGTCATCGTCATGTGCCATGTCGAGCCGTGTTTCCGCTCGTGTCTACCGTGGCAACGATTCCGAAACCGATGGCTTCTTTGGTTTCCATGCACGTCGAGTGACGTACACGTTGCGTTCTGTTGAGGGGTCTGTGTCGTCATCAACAGGTGCCGTGCGGAGCGATGTTTCCATGAATGTCAACCGAGGACACACCGAGTTTTGATGACGGTTTGTTGTCAGCACGAGTATGTGCCATGCTGATCGTTGTTTCTGTTTATGTCGACCGAGAACGCGCCGAGTGCTGCTAACGGTTTGTTGTCATCATTAGCATCATGTTGCGTGTAACCGGAGAACACATCAAGTCTTGTTGTGAGTTTGTTGTCATCTTCGCCATGCACCATGTCTAGGTGTGTTTCTGTTTAACGGTTTGTTGTCATCAACATCATCGTGTTGCATGTCGACAGAGTAACCCCCTCCACCTTCCCCGATTGCTTTTTTTAACGGTTTGCTGTCATGATGTCCGGCCCAAACATAGCGTAATTAGGCTTTCATTCATTTAGTCTCACCTGTGACATGGGCTAGTCTATGCTAGAGGGGTGTCACGTTGTTTTGTGTTCGCGAAGAGCTTCATAAATTGTGCCTAGTATAGGCGGCGTGCAACGCAATGTATTTTACTTGTTGTTACGAGCGGTTCCGATCCGATCCGAATTTAAGCACACACAAAAAGTCATCACATTCAACAAGTATCCTCAAAGGGGGAGCTTTTGGTTATAATTATGATTCGGTTTATGTGCACCATTTAAAATGGTGGAGACCTAGATGAGGTAGAGGACTAGAGAAAAAGACATTTTTTCTCATTAATCCCATGCGAAGCCAGGTAGTTTAATATAGTCACTAAAACAACTGGGCGAA